AACGACACCCGGTTACGCCAATCGGAGGTCGCTAACATTAATGTTGCTTCGGTGTGTAAGTTTGCCAAAACAATGTCGGACTCCGTAATTTTCTCTGGCCCCCTGCCTGATCGGACCAGTGACGACATGTTTAGCCGCATGCTGTCCTTCAACCGCTGGTTGTCTAGGTGGTGTCCTGAAAACAACGTGGGCTACATTGATAATTGGAAAACTTTTTGGGGAAAACCTGGTCTGATGCGGAGAGACGGCATCCATCCCTCTTTGGATGGAGCAGCTCTTCTTTCTAGGAACATGGCCAGTTTTATTAGTCCTCCATGACTACCCAGGGTCCAGACCAGGAAGCAGAGTCGTAGTTTAACCCACCCCTCTGCAGCTTCTGTACTGTTACCCACCCACTACCCCATAGAGACAGTGTCCTGCCCACGGCCAAAACCACACAGATTAAATATCAGGCTTAATAAAGCAAACCATGGAAATCTCATAAATATTAAAACAAATTCAACTGTGCAGAAAACTAGAAAAATTAAATGTGGGTTGTTGAACATTAGATCCATTTTTTTCTAAGATTTTGTTAGTTAATGAGTTGATTTGTGATAATCAGATCTCTTTGCTCTCTCTCACAGAATCCTGGCTGCAGCAAGAGGACTATGTTAGCTTAAACCAGTCGACTCCTTCTAATTATTTAAATCATCACATTGCTCGAAGTACAGGGCGAGGAGGAGGAGTAGCAACCATTTTTCATTTGGACTTATTAATAGTCCCTTACAGATTAATAGTTACAGTTCGTTTGAACATCTTATTCTTAGTTTTCCTAATCCAGATTGCAAAACTGTAAAACTACTCTTATTTGTAGTTTTATATCGTCCACCAGGCCCTTACTCTGAGTTTTTGGATCCGATCTCTGATTTTTTTTAATCAGATTTGGTGCTAAATACTGATAAGGTCATTGTAGTGGGGGATTTCAACATTCATGTGGACATTGAAAATGATAGCCTCAATGTAGCCTTTAGTAATATCTTTGACTCAATTGGTTTCACTCAAAGAATACATCGCTCCACCCACTCCTGCCATCATACATTGGACCTTGTGCTGACTTATGGCATTGAGTGTGAGGAAATAACGATCTTTCCACATAATCCAGTCCTCTTGGACCACTTTCTGATAACCTTTGAGTTTTTTATAACTGAGTTCTCGAGACATGAAAGTAAATTTCACTATAGTCGGTCTCTATCTGACAACGCAGTTGCATCTTTTAAATCAACTGTTCCATCTTTACTGTCCTCAGCATCTCAGAGGAACGTAGCAGAGGGCAATATTTTCAGTTCTAGCCCCTCACAAATTGATGCCTTGATTCATCGTGTTAATTCCTCTTTACGTGTGGCATTAGATGATGTTGCCCCTTTAAAAAAGAAGGTAATTAGGGACAGGAAGTTGGCTCCCTGGTTTAACTCTCATCTACGAGCCTTAAAACAAAACTCTAGGAAATTGGAGAGAACATGGCACTCTACACACCATGAGGAGTCCTATTTATCCTGGAAAAATAGTCTTGTGCTTTATAAAAATAAGCTTCGACAAACTAGAACTGCTTATTTCTCAGCACTAATTGAGGAGAATAAGCATAATCCTAAATTTCTTTTCAGTACAGTTGCCAAACTTACACAGAATCATAGCTCTGAGCCATCTATTCCCTTAGCCCTCAGCAGCAATGACTTCATGGGATTTTTTACAAGTAAAATTAATTCTATTAGAAACAAAATCTTTAGCATCCTCCCTAATGCGATTTCTTCTTCCTCAGTAATTGAGGCAGCATCAGAGGTGACTGTAGAACCTCATCTGTGCTTGAACCATTTTGATCCAGTTGAGCTTTCAGAGTTATCAAAATATAGGTCCTTCTCAAAAAATTAGCATGTTGTGATAAAGTTAATTATTGTCTGTAATGTACTGATAAACATTAGACTTTCATATATTAGATTCATTACACACAACTGAATTAGTTCAAGCCTTTTATTGTTTCTAATATTGATGATTTTGGTGTACAGCTCATGAAAACCCAAATTTCCTATCTAAAATATTTAGCATATTTCATCCAACTAATAAAAGAAAAGTGTTTTTTAATACAAAAAAGTCAACCTTCAAATAATTATGTTCAGTTATGCACTCAATACTTGGTCGGGAATCCTTTTGCAGGAATGATTTCTTCAATGCGGCGTGGCATGGAGGCAATCAGCCCGTGGCACTGCTGAGGTGTTATGGAGGCCCAGGATGCTTCGATAGCGGCCTTAAGCTCATCCAGAGCGTTGGGTCTTGCGTCTCTCAGCTTTCTCTTCACAATATCCCACAGGTTCTCTACGGGGTTCAGGTCAGGAGAGTTGGCAGGCCATTTGAGCACAGTAATACCATGGTTAGTACACCATTTACCAGTGGTGTTGGCTACCTGTTAAATTCAGAATAGATTTTAAGATCCTTCTTCTCACATATAAAGCTCTTAATAATCAAGCTCCATCATACATCAGTGATCTGATTGTTCCATACGTTCCTAACCGAGCACTTCGCTCTCAGACTGCAGGTCTACTGGTGGTTCCCAGAATATCTAAAATTAGGATGGGAGGCAGACACTTTGTCTACTTTTAAGAATAGGCTTAAAACATTTTTATTTGATAGGGCCTATGGTTAAAATCTGATGTTAGCCTAGATCAGGACAAGTGGGGGAGTAGAGGGAGGTGGAGTGTACAGTCGGTAAAGACGGCTCTCCCTTGCCCTGCCTCCAACATGCCTCCATCTAAATAGGATAGATTATCCAGAGTTATCTCTGTAGTTATGCTGCTATAGGCTTAGACTGCTGGAGGACACACTGACCACTTTCCACACTCTACTGCTTTCTTCTACAATCTGCTCTTTAACTTTATTATTTTCTGCTATTTCAGCTGTTAACTTTATTTTCTCTCTAAGTGTTTTTCTCCCCAGAAGAAGCTACAACGATGTTCTGCTGAGCTGTGGTGGCCTCATGGAGGGGGCCATCGTCTAGCACACTGCTGCTAACCACTTATACATTCTCCCTCTCCTGATAATAACTTTTTACTCTCTTTGACACTGAATGTCCTACTACTAGTGTACCCATTGTGTGTGTGTGTGTGCATGTGCGTGTGCGCGTGTGTGTGTGTGTGTGTGTGTGTGTGTGTGTGTGTGTGTGTGTGTGTGTGTGTCTTCTCCATCCCCAGTGAGTCGTGGAGGATGGCTGCTTATACTGAGCCAGGATTCTCTGGAGGTTTCTTCCTGTTAAAAGGGAGTTTTCCTCTCCACTGTCGCTGCATGCTTGCTTAGTATGAGGATTGCTGTAAAGTCAATGACAGTAGTCAGTGAATATAGGAAACTTTTTTCTGATTGGCTTAATGAACTGACCTGTATTGGAATGTTTATTATGTTAAGGTCCTTGAGATGACTCTTGTCGTGATTTGGTTCTACATGAGAATATATATACATATATATATATATATATATATATATATATATATATATATATATATATATATATATATATATATATATCCAGGCATGCCATTAGGGATTACAGAATCGGATCAGGTCTCGACTTGATCAGTCGGACTAAATGAAAAAATGTAAACATTGCTGAGGAACAGTTTTTTTTTCTCTCCTTCCTTTAACAACTGAAAATTATTAGAAAACAGTTCAATAGTGTGTAAAGCAACATGCTGTCACCATGATTAAACTATGATCAGTAAAGTTTTATGTATTTCATTCACATGCTCAGTAGTAAGCTACTGGAAATGCTAGTAACATTTCATTTCTACTGCTTAGAAAGTAACGGTGACATTTCTATTATGCACGGGTTAACAATCATCCAGCTTAAGTGTTCACAGATAGACGCGTTTGTGAGTTAAATGCTACAGTGGCTTGCCTCACTCCTTCAGTTGGACAGAGCTGACCCGAAGCAGCACCTGTCTGGAGCTCCGTAGCGCCGCAGACCGCTGATGAACAGGATGATGATGGAGACGTTTCCTCTGCTTGTAGAGTTTAGATGTTCTTAGTTTAACAACAGAACCCCGCTTGATCCTGAGCCTGCTAGCCACTAGCATTAGCTAGTCTGGCCTCTGTGTCTTTGTGGTTTCTGTTTTCCTTCACAGGAGGCCTGGAGGGTCGATATCCAGCACGTTTTAGTGGTTTCTCTGCTCCACACACACCTGAGCCAGTGCCTGAATCACCTGCAGCAGCTCACCAGGCTCTACAGAAGCCTGTTAATCACCTACTAATTGAAATCAGGTGTGTTGAAGCAGGTTAAAACTTAGGCCTAGTCCACACGTAGCCGGGGTTTTTTAAAAACGAATATCCGCCCCTCCAAAAACTTGCATCCACACCACCTCGTTTAAAAACAAACTCTGTCCACACGTACCCGGATAAATACGTTGTTAAGGACATGCCAGACCTGTAGGCGGCAGTACTTCCCCCGTTCTTAAGCTCGTCCTTCCTCTGTGGTCTTCCGCAAGGAGCAGTAATTCCTCTTGCAAACACAAACAAGCAGAAAGCGCTTGGACAACTGATAAAGCGAGCGCAGCTCTGAGGGCATCCATGCTGTCGGCTAGTGTAAACACAGGTCGCACGCGTGATGTCAGCATTTTATTGTCGCGGAAAGTGACGTTGCGGACCTTAAAACTCCGGTTTAGTCTGTCCACACGCAGACACCCAAAAGGGAGAAAACGCAGATCTTCACTTTGGCCGGAGTTTTTAAAAAGATCCGTTTTCGTGTGAAAAAACTCCGTTTTCGTGTGGATGACAGGCCAAAACGTAGAAACATATCTACGTTTTGGCAGATCCCCGGCTACGTGTGGACAGGGCCTCAGTGTCCTGACCCAGAGTGTCACCATCTCCTTTATATCAGTGGCTAATCCAGGAGACAGGTGTAGGAGACTATTTTCTTGTTCAGCAGAAATGTTAAACTCAGAGAGACGTTCTAGATCAACCTAAAGCACAGATACACCCAACAAAAACCAGAAACCATTTATTTAGTTGATTTATTCATTTTGTTGAAATGCTGCCGTCGTTCACAACGAACATTAGTGTCTTTACATGGCATTGAGCAACCACCATTTCCCATGAAGCCATCATCAAAAGCACAAACATTACTGATTAACACACACCGGCAGAGGGGAGATGGGTTAGGGTAGGAGACACCACCTCGACTCAAAATACTCATAAAAACCAGAAAACAAATGCTACAGTGTTTGTGAAACTTTACCGTTGCACACAAGCAAAAGCCAAGTGTGGACATTAAACTAGAGTCCAGTGAAGGTGACTGACCATCATAACCCAGTAGCTGAGTAACCATGGCGCCCCTGAAGAGGTGAGCCTAACGGAGGCGTCGGGGAAACGTGGATGGATGCTTTCTGTGTTAGCATCGACGTTTCCTCCATTCTGACCCAGGTAGCCAGAGTCTGCTGTGGGCCTTGGTGCTCATGGCTGACCGCACTACTAAACCATATTCATGATGTCAAAATAAACAGTAGCTTTGCACGTCTTTCACCAGGGGTTCCTCGTGAACAGTGCACTGTTGTGTGTTTGCATAAATGTGACCCAATTCCTTCAAGGATCCCTCGCCAGCCTAGAACCTCCAACCGCTGGGCTGATGTGATGTGAACGGGTCTCCACGGTCCTAGTCTGGGATTCTGAGGCTTTTGATTGTTTCTACCTTACAGTGGGAATGAACACACGGTGCTGTGAATGGTAACAGACACCAGTGAAGCTCAGAGAAACGAAAGGCTGGTTAGTAAACCCAAACCTTTAAGAAGCCAAAGCCCAGAGAAGGACATCCCTTCGGTGCCGCTCCTAACTGAACAGCCAGTTTTGTGTAAACGAGACATGAATGACTCGTCCCAAGGCGTGCCCATCATCACAGGTCTTCGTTAGATGAGTTGTACTAGTGACTGTACAGGAAGTGTGACGGGGGTCTCTCTAAGAATCGGTCCTTACCGTTGCAGGCTCCATGCCATTTTCCTAAAACATGTTTCAGATAGATACAGGACTTCGTTTACTTCACATCTGTATACAAGCCAAGTGCTTAAAACATGAACGCAGCAGTGATTTTGGAGTGACGGTTAGGTAGAGGACGAGAGGACAGAGGTAGGAGGGGTAGTGGCTGCTTCTTTGGTTGACTGACTGTTTGCATTGGATTGTAATTAAGGCAGAGAACCATACACACCAATGGGTCTTCTACAGTTGGACATGTCCCAAATACACGGTTTTACATAAACTTTTAAAATGTGCTTCCAGTGATGTGCTGTGGGAACTGCTGAATGACGTGAAGTAGAAAAACGGGGACTTCCGCTCCTCTCACTTAAACAAAAGTGCTTGTGTGTGAGACCAGGGTGTAAAAATGACAAATCTGTACAACATTTACAAATATCACACAACCTTACAAAACACCACGCCTCTGTAAGGCAACAGAACCCTGAATATCGTTCCCAGACGTTGTAGGTGGCTCTGATTGGAGGAAAAGGCATGAAGGCATTCTTGGAGGAGGCATCCCGCTCTCAGGTGCTAAACTGAAACTGGTTCATCTCACCGCGTGTGCCGTTGTCCACCAGCCCCCTGTTCCTTACTCTCCTTCCATGTCACCTCCGCTGATGCTACCTGCTTGCAAGCTCCTTCTAGGCTCTCTCGTTTAATGTTCTGCAGCATTGAGAGGGACAAGTAGGGATGCTGGGGAAGGGGAGGCGGCGTACTAGAGGGGGGAGAGGCTGGGGAGTCTTGGCCACATCTCCCAGTGCTCATGGCCCTGTGTTTGAGTCTGAGTTTGTGGGGCAAGGCTGTGCCCCTTACCTCCCCCTGAGGATCCCAGCCTTGGTACTGAAGCAGGTGAGAATCTGGATGGAGGATGCAAGAATAACGCTGGTGGTGGAAACTGCTTAAAGACGGCGACTCCTCATTGTCGGTGGAGGCCTCTTTGTCGTCACAATCACTTGTTGTGTCCTTGTCTGAGGAGGGAAACTGGTGGCCCTGCCCCCTGGGCCCACCCTCGTCTTGTGCACTGAGGTACGATCGGTGAGGCTGCTGGAGTTGGTGGTACAACTGAGAATGTCTGCCCTCCTCCAGCAGCTCACCCAGCTGCTCTGCAGAAGGTTCGCTCCTGTCCAGCGCATACTGCTGCTGCTCTGGATGGGTTAACTGGCAAACTCTGTACGCCTGCCTCTCTTTGGCATCGTCGCAGCTGTCTGACAGCTCAAGTGTGGGGGAGTCTAAGGTCTTCCCCTCCACCTGCTTGGAGCCCTCTGTGACGGATTGCTGCAGTTGGCTGATGCAGACCAGGCTGCTGTTGGTGCTGGGCGTTGATGCTGGCCGCAGACCCGCTTCCTGGGACCTGGCGAGGGCCTCCCCAGGGCAGGAGGCACTGCTGGCTCCATATAAAATGACACTCCTTTGGGTAGCAGGCGGACTCGGTGGAGCATGGCTGACCTTTGTGATGGAGGTGAGGAGCTCCTGATGTGATTCTGACTGCTGCTGGACAAGGTGGCTTTGGTGCTGCTGCTGGCTCTGGTATGCAGCATCCGTCTCCTGATGCTGGTGGCTTGTGGCTACAGAGGTCAAACCACGGTGAATGTTGAACATTATCTGGGTCGTGGTGCCACTGGCGATGTCCATCTCCAGTTGGTCACCTTCTTGTTTGATCCCAAAAGGGACCGGTTCAGGACTGTCTCTTGAGGAGCCATCAGACATGTCGGACAGGGAACCACGTGGAGAGTACTTCACCAACTGCCTGTGACCCTCACTGTGCCCCGACTGCTCTGTTTCTGAGGAATCAGAGTTCAACATCACCTGAGAGCCACTGGAGTAACCACTGGAGTAATACTGATTAGAAGAGACTCCGTTGTCCGTGCTGCTGCCCATACCCACTTTCTGGCTCTTCTCTACGTAGGAGGCCGTACTAATCAGACCAAAACGCAACTTCAGCTGCAGCAGCTCGGTCTTGAGCCTCACATTCTCGTCGTTCAGTGCAATGACACGGTTTTCCAAAACCATGTCATTGAGACGTCTTTTCTCCCTGGAGCGCTTGGCGGCCTCGTTGTTCTTGCGCCTTTTCTCCCAGTAGGAGGCATCCTTTTTCTCATCAGAGATAAACTGACGCTTTCGCCTACAGGAGACATTTGGCTTGGGTTTAATGAGACGGCCCAGACGAGGAGGCGTCCCTGGGACAGAAGGAATCGTCTCTTCATAGTTGTTGAACGTTTCAAGGCTGTTTCCTGAGTTTTTGTTGAGTGTTTTGAGCGCTGAAGTGAGCTTTTCCATTCTTGCCTCGTAGCAGCCAGTTTGAACTGGAGCTGTGATGAAAACACTTTAGCTGTCGGAGATGGCAGCACTTCCGGAGTGAGGGGTCAAGTGTCCAAGTCAGTCAAAGAGATGAAGAACAGTAGAAGTTGGACATGGGTAGCCCTCATTTATCCAGTTTCAGGGTTTGACTCTCAGGGTCGGTCCTCCTTTGCTTTTCTGTTCTGTGCTTTTTTAAAGGTGGGGACCGCGGAGTGTGCTCTGCTGGACAAGAGGAGTCCCAGTTGTCCACTCAACCAGGAGGACGTAGGCCGGCTTGTCTACCTCAGGATGCCAGTCGCTGTCTCCCTGCTTGCCTGTCGGTTCTGTTTGACGCTGGCTGCAAGACGAAAGGCTGCAGAGATGAAAACAGGAAAAAGGAACGTTAACACTCCTGGTGCTAGCTTATGCATTCATTCTCTGTTTCTTTTGACTGTTTGAAAAGGTGTGTTCTAATTTAGCAGAGATGCAAAACCCGGGAAGAATTTCCTGGCTGTGAGTGTTTGGCTGTCACCCTGGAAACCACAGAGCAGCTGAGTGTGACCTTTTGGCTTCCCTGTTGAACCGATCCGTCTGCAGCCTGTGACCCCTGACCCTTCTTCCTGACATGTTGATGTTGGCTTTTGTGATGCAATCAGGACAGTGGGTTCACGGCCAAACAGTTAACCTAATCTCAACGTGTCACCCAGGATCTCCAAAAGCCATCTGTGCGAGGCGTTTAAAGACCTGAGCTCACATTTTAAAGGAGGCTGTGCTCCAAACCGAAGGATGCTAATTATAACTCGCCCACGCCGCAGCCGAGGCAAGCACACACATAAATCACACAGCAGCACAGAAATGACATCACGAGACATGCTGAGAGCGTGGAAACTGGATTAGCTCTTTGTTTTATCTCATGAGCATTTGGGCCAGACCAAGTGAGTCAGACGGAAGATCCGACGGGAGCTCCCTGGAATTGTTTAAGAGCTTTTATTCTGCCTAAAAGTGCCGAGCCCCACCCCCATGCACCAGGGGTTGCCCTACCCCAACCCCATGCACTCATCGGCAAAGGAATGTGGCTGCGTTCTTCCGCGTTACCGAGCCAGTAGATAAGGCAGACAAAGGCCTCTGCTAATGTGGGTCAAGGTGTGTGTGTGTGTGTGTGTGTGTGTGTGTGTGTGTGTGTGTGTGTGTGTGTGTGTGTGTGTGTGTGTGTGTGTGTGTGTGTGTGTGTGTGTGTGTGTGTGTGTGTGTGTGTGTGTGTGTGTGTGTGTGTGTGTGTGCGTGTGTGTGAGGCGGAGCATTAATAAATATAGGTCAAGGGCCCCTGAGAAGATGGGAGGAGGGACATTTGCTGGAAAAACACAAAATGTTACATTTAAGTGAAACCAGAAGGAGGCCAGGCAGTCTGGGAAAGAGAGGAAAAGACTACAATCATGGAGGCTGGAAGTAAGCTGTGGTTAGGGTTAGTACCCTACAACCACTGCACCGTGTGGTTGATGCTTTCATTTCTGTGTGAAAATAATAAATAATAACAGCCATATGCTGACATCTCGCTGTACCAGGAAGCTTGTTGGTTATCTGCTTTCTTGTGTTTTACACAATTTAGTAAAACTAGTTATTTAATTGACAGATTTAAGCTAGTACCTCTAGTCACAATCAGAGATCGCCGGTGTTGGTGGCATCACTTCATTTTACCCGCGGTCAGCACCGCGTCCTCCTGGCTGATGACACGGTCCCATGAGTGATCCAATGCCCACCATCTCTGTTCATGGTTGTGTGTCCACGTCTCCTTATTTCTATGGCTTCCTCGATCTATAGTTGTTGGTTCCCTGACTGCCTAATTAGTTAATTGGCTTTAGATTAATTAGAAATGTGGTAATAAATAATAAATGTTATGTTTTTGTGTGGAGATCTGAATCTAATCTCAGTAAATGAATTAAATACACTAAATATCTGTAAACAATGCAGAAGTTAGAAAAGCTGAAGGCTCTGAAAAGAAACTTGCAGAAAGAAGATGGCCAGACATTAGATGCTCCTTAGCTTCAAATGTTTTCAGTAACTGTTGGTGTCAGCCATGTTTGTTAAATGTGGGACGGAGCACCAATCCAACCATGGATTTGAAAAGTAAAACCTCATAAAGTGGATGTGTGTGGAGCTTTTGGTGTTAGATAATCATCAGTCGGTCAAATGTGGCGAACACAAACGAGCTAAAAGTCTGTAAGTGTTGTTCAGTTAGATTGGTTATTTACGTTGTTGAGTCTGGCTCATGATCTTTCATTGACATAAAAACAAAGAGTCGGAGTACCCGGCCCGGAGGGTTACCGGGGTCCCACCCTGGAGCCAGGCCTGGGGTTGGGGCCCTTGAGCGAGCGCCTGGTGGCCGGGCTTTCACCCATGGGGCCCGGCCGGGCCCAGCCCGAACGGGATACATGGGCTCATCCAACTGTGGACCCACCACCCGCAGGAGGAACATGAAGGGTCCGGTGCAATGTGGATCGGGTTGCAGACTGAAGCGGGAGCCTTGGCGGTCCGATCCCCGGAAAAGGAAACTGGTTTTTGGGACATGGAATGTCACCTCGCTGGCGGGGAAGGAGCAGGAGCTTGTGGCAGAGGTTGAGCGGTACCGGCTAGATATAGTCGGACTCACCTCGACACATTGCATTGGCTCTGCAACCCAAGTCCTTGAGAGGGGTTGGACACTCTACTTTGCTGGAGTTGCTCCGGGTGAGAGGCGGAGGGCTGGGGTTGGCTTTTTGTTAGCCCCAAGACTCTCTGCCTGTGTGTTGGGGTTTACCCCGGGGACGAGAGGGTAGCTTCCCTGCGCCTTCAGGTCCGGGAACGGGTCCTGACTGTTTGTGCTTATGGGCCAAATATCAGTTCAGAGTACCCACCCTTTTTGGAGTCCCTGGGACGAGTGCTAGATAGTGCTCCATCATGGGACTCCATTGTCCTGCTGGGGGACTTCAATGCTCACGTGGGCAATGACAGCATGACCTGGAGGGGTGTGATTGGGAGGAACGGCCCACCTAATCTGAACTCGAGTGGTGTTTCGTTATTGGACTTCTGTGCAAGCCGCAGTTTGGCCATAACGAACACCATGTTCGAACATAAGGATGCCCATCGGTACACTTGGTACCAGGGCAGCCTAGGTCGCAGGTCGATGATAGATTTTGTAGTCGTATCATCTGACCTGCGGCCGTGTGTTTTGGACACCCGAGTGAAGAGAGGAGCGGAGCTGTCAACTGATCACCACCTGGTGGTGAGATGGATCAGATGGCAGGGGAAGATGCCGTGTAGACCTGGCAGACCCAAACGCATAGTGAGGGTCTGCTGGGAACGCCTGGCAGAAGAACCTGTCAAGACGGTCTTCAACTCCCACCTCCGGCAGAGCTTTGACCGCATCCCGAGAGCAGTGTGGGACATAGACTCCGAGTGGGCCTTGTTCCACTCTGCGATTGTTGAGGCGGCTGTTGCTAGCTGTGGTCGCAAGGTGGCCGGTGCCAGTCGTGGTGGCAACCCCCATATCCACTGGTGGACACCAAAGGTTCGGGAAGCCGTCAGGCTGAAGAAGGAGGCCTACAGGGCGTAGTTGGTCTGTGGGTCTCCAGAGGCAGCAGACAGGTACCGGATAGCCAAGCGGGGTGCAGCAGTGGCAGTTGCCGAGGCAAAATCTCGGGCGTGGGAGGAGTTTGGTGAGGCCATGGAGAATGACAATCGATCGGTTCCAAAGAGGTTCTGGCAAACTGTCCGGCGCCTCAGGAGAGGAAGGCAGCAACTCGCTCACACTGTTTACAGTGGGGATGGGGAGCTGCTGACGTCAACTGAGGCTTTAGTCAGACGGTGGAAGGAATACTTTGAGGAGCTCCTCAATCCCACCTATGCTCATTCCGAGGAGGCACCAGAGCCGGGAGACCTGGGGATGGACTGTCCGATCTCGGGGGCAGAAGTTGCTGAGGTAGTCAAACAACTACACAGCGGTGGAGCAAAGGGGGTGGATGAGATTTGTCCTGCGTATCTCAAGGCTATGGATGTTGTAGGGCTGTCGTGGTTGACACATCTCTGCAACATTGCGTGGTCATCGGGGGCAGTTCCTGTGGAGTGGCAGACCGGGGTGGTGGTCCCCATCTTTAAGAAGGGTGACCGGAGGGTGTGTTCCAACTATAGGGGGATCACACTCCTCAGCCTCCCTGGAAAGGTCTACTCCAAGGTACTGGAGAGGAGGGTCCGATCGATAGTTGAATCTCAGATAGAGGAGGAGCAATGTGGTTTTCGTCCTGGCCGTGGAACTGTGGACCAGCTCTATACCCTTGCAAGGGTGATGGAGGGGGCATGGGAGTTTGCCCAACCAATCCACATGTGCTTTGTGGATTTGGAGAAGGCTTATGACCGTGTCCCCAGGGGCACCCTGTGGGGGACGCTCCAGGAGTATGGGATGGGTGGCTTTCTGTTAAGGGCCATTCAGTCCCTTTACCAGAGGAGCGTGAGTTTGGTCCGCATAGCCGGTAGTAAGTCGGACCTGTTCCCGGTGAGGGTTGGACTCCATCAGGGCTGCCCTTTGTCACCGGTTCTGTTCATTACCTTTATGGACAGAATTTCTAGGCGCAGCCGTGGTGTGGAGTGTGTCGAGTTTGGTGGCAGGAGAATCTCGTCTCTGCTTTTTGCGGATGATGTGGTCCTCCTAGCTTCATCCAGCTCTGACCTTCAGCTCTTGCTGGGTAGGTTCGCGGCCGAGTGTGAAGCGGCTGGGATGAGGATCAGCACCTCCAAATCTGAGACCATGGTTCTCGACCGGAAAAGGGCGGCTTGCCAACTCCGTGTCGGGGGAGTGGTCCTACCTCAAGTGGAGGAGTTTAAGTATCTCGGGGTCTTGTTCATGAGTGAGGGTAGGAGGGAACGGGAGATCGACAGGCGGATTGGTTCAGCGTCTGCAGCGATGTGGACGCTAAGCTGAGCTGTCGTGGTGAAGAGGGAGCTGAGCCAGAAAGCCAGGCTCTCGATTTACCGGTCGATCTACGTCCCAGTCCTCACCTATGGTCATGAGCTTTGGGTAATGACCAAAAGAACGAGATCGCGGATACAAGCGGCCGAAATGAGTTTTCTCCGTAGGGTGGCCGGGCTCAGCCTTAGAGATAGGGCGAGGAGCTTGGACATTCGGGAGGTACTCTGAGTAGATCCGCTGCTCCTACGGATCGAAAGGAGTCAGCTAAGGTGGTTTGGGCATCTGGTCAGTATGCCTCCGGGACGCTTCCCTGGGGAGGTGTTTTAGGCATGTCCTGCCGGCAGAAGGCCCCCGGGTCGACCCAGGACACGTTGGAGAGGTTACATCTCCAATCTGGTCCGGGACCACCATGGGCTCCTGCCGGAGGAGCTAGT